TTACAAGAACAACAACACGAACACAACCAACAACCAACAATCAACAACAACAACCAACCACCACAACAAGAACAAGAACAAGAACAAGAACAATAACAGCAACAGCAACAGCAACAGCAACAGCAACAACAACAACAATACCAAGAACAAGAACAAGAACAAGAGCAAGAGCAAGAGCAAGGGCAAGAGCCAAAACAAGAACAATAGCAAGAACTAGAACTACAACAAGAACAAGAACAAGAACAAGAACAAGGAAAAAAGAACAAGAACAAGCGCAACGACAACGACAACGACAACGACAACGACAACAACAACAACAACAACAACAACCACAACCACAGCCACAACAACACAACCTACCAACCAAACAAACAAACAAACAAATAAGCAAACACACAAACAAACACATATACAAACAAACAAGCAAAAAACAACCAGACACAAACAATCAAACAAACAAACAGACAATCAATCAATCAATCAATCAAACAATCAAACAAACAAACAAACAAAAAAGAAAAAGCGAACAAAACTAACAAACAACAAGCAACACGCACCAAACAACAAACAACAAAAACAAACAACAAGCAACAAACAACATCAATCAACAACCGACAGCCCACAACCAAGAACCAACAACTGCAAGCGCAAGCACAACCACAAGCACACGCAAAACCGCAACAACAACAACCATAACAACAACAACCACAACCACAACCGCAACCACGACCACGACCACGACCAGGAACAGGACCAGGACCAGGACCAGGACCACAACCACAACCACAACCACAACGACAACGACAAAGACAACGACAACGACAACGACAACGACGACCACGACCACGACCACGACCACGACCACAACCACAACGACCACGACAACCACAACAACAACACCACCACCAACAACAACAACGCAACAGCAACAGCAACAGCAACGGCAACAGCAACAGCAACAGCAACAGCAACAGCAACAGCAACAGCAACAACAACAAGAAGAACAAGAGCAAGAGCAAGAGCAAGAGCAAGAGCAAGAGCAAGAGCAAGAACAACAACAACAACAACAACAACAACAACTCAACATTCAACAACTCAACAATTCAACAATTCAACAACTCAACAACTCAACAACACAACAACACAACAACCACAACAACAACAACAACAACAACAACAACAGCAGCAGCAGCAGCAGCAACAACAACAACAACAGCAAAAGCAAAAGCAGCAGCAGCAGCAGCCGCAGCCGCAGCAGCAGGCAGCATACTGTTGTGGTTCTTGTTATTGTTATTGCTCTTGTTCTTCTTGTTCCTGTTCTTGTTGTGGTTGTCGTTGTCGTTGCGGGTGTTGCTGTTGCTGTTGCTGGCGGCGCTGCTGCTGCTGCTGCTGCTGCTGCTGCTGCTGCTGCTGCTGCTGCTGCTGCTGCTGCTGCTGCTGCTTCTGCCGTGACAGTGCACAGTGGTTCCAGCGCAACACAGTGAGAGCATCTGTTGGCTGCACACTGAAATTCACACATCGATTGGGTGCGGCCGCCTTGGCTTGTGCCGCACACACTGTGTGGCTGTCCACGAGCTTCATGGCCTGAACTGGCTTTAGCGTGAATGCTTCTACATCTCAACTCCGTGTCAGTTCATGGCTCGCCTTGACCAGCTCATCTCGTAAATAGTCCCGACCTAGCGCAGATAGTCCAACATTTCCCTCCCGGGATACTGGCCAATGCTTGAGACCCGAATGCTGCGCTGGCGCGATGGGGGATATTGATCTACCCGCGCGGCTCGGCTCTGCAGGTCAAATAGTGCAAACAAATTGAATCAGAAAAGTGCACAAAAACACAGAAATAAATAGAATGGAAATAGCCTAGAAAAAGGCCGTCAACCTCCTTCTACCGACAACCTTTCCTGGAGCACGCCCGCAAGTTCTGCTCTGGCGAAGGCATGAGACGAGCTGAAGCTCTATTGCATGTCCTTTTCCCATCTTCTTTCCTCATCTTTATTCCAAGGATAAAGAGATAATGATGGACGAACGACGAGAGAAGTCTTGTGAGGGCTGGCCCAGTATTCATCTCTATCCCTCACTCTCTATCCTTCCTCTCCCAAGCCTCTATCCAACGCACAGCTACTTTTGGTTGGGGGCAAAGGCGTGGAGAAGAGAAATGAATAGCATGAAAGGGTGAGGAAGGAAGGAATTGCCTTCACTCACCCTTTCCAACAGCTAAAAAGAGAAGCAACAATCATTTCCCTCCTACCCCATTTACGAGCTAGTGAGAGGCACGTCCTCTCCACCTTCCCATCCTTTCCTCACTCATTCCCACCTCTCTGCTTACTCGCGAACAAAGGGGGCAACATGCCTTTCACATCCTAGCTCGGGGGCGGGCAGGATTTTGTGTTTTTGATTTTTAAACTATAGAATTGAACTCTCCAAAATGTTTCAATGATTGATTTGTTTTAGAAATCTAGATGGTCCCGGCCCAGGAGGGGCCCAGCCAGGACCCTTGATTTTTAGATTGTTTGGTTTTTTAGAACTTTGCGAGTTCTTTTGGGGGTTCCGATTTTGAGAATTTTGAGAACTTTTAGAATTGAATTCTTTAGAGTTTTTCAACTTTTTAGATTTAATTCTAAACAAAAATAAAGTTCTAAAACATCTAAACAATCTATAGAATGTTTTGCACTTCTAGAATTGAATTCTAAAAGCTCGAAAAAATCTACATGTTTGGGGTCCGATTTTCAGATTTTAGATTGAAGTTCTAAAATAAATAAAAGGTCTAAAAAAAGTCTAAAAATCAAGGGTCCTGGCTGGGCCCCTCCTGGGCTGGGACCTTCTAGACGTCTAAATATTCTAAAAAATCCAAATTGCGGGGGTCCGATTTTTAACAACCGCCCACAAATTTACCATTGGAGTAGGCCACTCCTTTTATGCTCACCGACCTGTGCAGAAGAGAGCTCCCTGGACCACTCGAGGGGGGGGCCCCCCATACGAGGGAACTTCATGTATAATGTGAACGGGCCATTCGCCTTTTGATAACCAAGTCTTAATTTATAGAATTGCTTTGTAGAAGTCTAGATGGTCCCAGCCCAGGAAAGGCCCAGCCAGGACCCTTGATCTGCAGAATTGTTAGATGTGTTAAGATTGAATTCTAAACACTCTAAATCGGACCCCCGAAATTTCGATTTTTTGGAATATTTAGAAGTCTAGAAGGTCCCAGCCCAGGAAGGGCACAGCCAGGACCCTTGATTTTTAGAATTTTCAAACTTTTCGACTTTTTCCGAATTGAATTCTAAAAAGGCTAAAAATCGGACCCCAAAATTTTAGATTTTTTAGAAATCAATTCTCAAATCCGAGATACCGAAAGCGTATTGAGGCGTTGCCATCAGTGCTGAAGCCCTGAGGCTACCACGGTCCATGAGGCTTTTTCGGGCCTGCGCAGCAGCGACTGCTACTGCATGCCACAAACTTCGACGGTTGGCTGTTCAATGCTTTTCCACTCAAGGTATGACTAGAGACCGCCCAAATCAATAAGGCTGGCATAGTTAGACCTAACACTGAAGGCCGCCTGTTCCAAAAGGTGCAGCAAGCGGCCTGCATGAACTCCCGAGGTGGTCTGATCTCCATAACCAACTCCTTCCAGGCTGCAAGGTGCCGCGGCTTGCAGTGAGCCGACTCTGCCGACTCTGCCCCCGACTGCATCCGCAGATTGCCCATGCCGACTGATGCAGAATCGTCCTTGAGATTTCTCTTCATCATCTGTTCACTTTTGGAGCGGGAGCCTGCCAAACCAAATCAGTCCGTATACTGGCGCACAGGTCGACAAGTAGCCTCTCTGGGCATACACCAGCTCACGCGCGCAACACCCTAGCCTATGCGAACAATACTCTCGCAGAACTTGAAGATGCCCTCCAAGAACCTGTCATGAGCTAAGAGACAGCCCAACGGGTGTGCAATTCTGCAACAGAAAGTCATGTTGGAAGTGTAGTGGTATCTTTATTTGTTGCCCCCACCATCGCTCCGACTCCATTCTGATACATATGCGCAAACATCCTCCCCACGCCTGAATCCTGCTTCATGCTACTGTTAAATCTGCTCTGGCGGATCACTCTCTGTGAGCAACAATGAAAAAAATGGGTATAAGAACAACAGCGGGAAAGAGCTGGTGCATCATAGCCCATCTGCACGTCTATTTGAGTGCCGCGCTTTGCAAATCGGTGTGCCAACCACAGGCATGCTCCATCACTTTGAAGCAGTTGCATCACGATTGTTGGTGATTCCTCCAGAAAAAACACCAACGGCTGCATCCAGGTCCTTCCAACCTAAATCATACAAGCTAATCATACGAGAATCACGTTTGCTCTTGAAGCCCAACCAATGAGTAAGCAAAGCCATTTTCAGCAAAGGTTGCAATGTCGAGTAGTAACTGTTCCCACAAGTATGGCTCCCTGTGGCATTTCACTGATCTGGGGGCCTTTCAAAAGTCCGACAACACGATGCTCTGTCTCTCTCTCTCTCTAGATTCTAAATACTCCTCATCATTGTAGGTCCCACTTAGTTGTAACATTTGTAGTTCTTGCTCTGGGCTAAGGCGCGCACTGATCCAAGGCGTGGTTCGTGTAGCAAACAACCAAGATCGGGGAGTGGCGCAGTGTCTTGGTGTTGTCAAGAATGGCCTCGCCATGAGGGGAAAAGTCTTGACTATGTACCAGCGGCGTGTTGCGCCGGTATTGTCTGCATCGAGCTCAGCATGGCCTGAACGATCTTGAGCCCGACAAACGTCCTTAATCAGCATCAAAACAATGCACCAGCCAACCTCAAGTTGTAAGACTTGCGTTGAGGAAGGCACTTGCCAGTCCCAGGTGGTCCTTGAATCAAAGACATCTGGTGCGTCAAAGCCTCAATGACTCAAGCAGCCAAGTGAAGCAGCTTAGCAAAGTTGCTGTAGCAGCTTGCTACAGAGCTTGATCAGCCTGAACAAACAACAAAACACGAAAACACAACATATGGAGCCATATATTGTGAGCCCAATGCACAGCTCTCTCTATGTCTCTCTCTCTCTCTCGCGCGTTCTGTGACTCAGAAAACCGGGTCGCACACGTGCTGAACCGCATCGAGCTGGGATGGATCTAAATCCAGCGCCCTCAGCGAAAGAGAAGTTCAAAAACCATCGAAGAGACAGAGAAAGGGAGGGAGGGGAGGGGAGGGGAGGGGAGGGAGGAAGAGAGAAAGAAAGAAAGAGAGAAAGAAAGAGAGAGAGAGAGAGAGAGAGAGCGAGTCGGCTAAGTCGATCTTCTGCGGCATCTTGCACAGTTTCCGCCAGGATTGTGGTCATGGTTGTGTTGTGCGTGGGCTTGTTCTGCTTGTGATGCAGGCAAAACCGGCTGGCCCAGGCATATATCATATACACAACGTTGAGATTGGCTAAGTGCAAGCCAAGTTCTGCACTGTTTCAGTGCTCGCGGCCACTCCGAGAGGACCCTGAAGGACTTGGGAGCGGCAACCTCTGCGTCAGCCTCAATTGGCACGATGAACTTGCTATCGACTTCAAATTGGGTGCAATGGTACTGCACATCTGTATTTCCGGCCTTCTCGCAGTTGGTGAAGACATTGTGGAAGTGGAACATATCAGTCTCTTCCTGCACGAGCAGTTTTATGGTCCAGCCGTGCCCCGTTCATGAGCACCTTCAAATATGTAGGAGGCAGCGGATCAGGTTGTGGACTCAGCAGCGTGTGCTGGAAGGGCACCTTGCCAACAGACTCATGTCATGCTGATTGAACTGAAACACTGAAACATCTCATAAACAAGAACACTGCCATGCTAGCGTCATGAGTTTCTCATTTCAACGTATTGATCCTCAACTTTACGCTGGCCAAACCTATTGACTGCTTGCCTAGCCGAGCTGGCGAATGAATAAGGAGCTTTCGTACTATGCCCTTGGCATCTGCTGCGCGCATGCTTTGCAAGGCAATCAGGACGTGCCGATACGCCTCGGGCGATGCAGTTTGCCTGGACGGCACTCGGCAATGTACCATGGCCTCGAAGTAGATCGTGACATTTTCAATGCAGCAAAATGCCTGCCGCAGTGCAAAGCAACGGGAAGCACCTGTGACATGCCAAAGGAGCTGACTAAGTGGCCCGCCTTGCCGGGCGAGAGCCGGTCATCCCAAGGATCAAAAGGTAGTCGAATGTCAAGCTGTGCCTTTTGCGCGTACAACTTGCTTCATTTCAAATTTCAACCATGGGTCGCTGATCTGATGCACTAAGATTTGCGCCTTTTCAGCCATGAGACCAGGGTCTCTCCGCCACACCTCAAACATACTAATTATTCTGCAGTGACCTTGATCAGCTCTCAAACATTTCTGACAAGTTGAGCCTGGCACCGTTGCCCAAATAAGGGAAGAAAAATCATCGTCCGAGAAGCACAACAGGCTTCCGTACCTCTGAAGCACTAGTTTGGGCAATTTTGAAGACAGATTGCTGTCACTCGCTGCAGGTGGTCTCTTTGCATCCTGGTTGATATAAACACTAGAAGCTCGCCGGCCTCAATGAATGAACGATAGCATGAACGATGCAGAGCTTTCTGAATTTTCAAACCCGGGTCGCATCAGCTGCTTTGACTTCTCCCAGTTGATCTTCCGTAACTGACACACGGCCCAACGGCCCAACGGCAAGGCCAAGCTTCAAAGCAGCTCCTCGTCCTTCCGAAGTTCAATGCGATACACAAGTCCTCAGATTAATTGCCCATTGTGGTAAACCCCTCGCAAGCCTGCCTTTGCAACACATTTGGGAAATTCATTTAAACCGAGGCATGCCAAGACCCTGGCCTTCCCAGGTGCTTAGCACGCCAACTACCTGTCCAGCACACATGCTCCAAAATCACGCAGTGTAAGCACAAATACCTCAATGAAGCTTGCCCACACGCGAACATACACTCTCACAGTGACTCAAGTTCGAACAACGTCAAGTCTCAATGAACAACAAACAAGACACATCTGCCGGGCAGTCGTCAAACCCAGGATGAGCAGCAGGCACTTCAGGTGGGTGTTTTGCTCGTCGAACCCGGGTATGGCAACAGCAGTGCTTCCGTTTGCATTGCTGCTCCGTCCCCTGTCCCCACACTCAGAATTGCTCTTGCAACCAGGCAGCCGCGAACTTGCGACGACAGCTTGCAGAACTGTGGTATTGTTTGCCACACGATGTGTATGTCTACGTGTTCATTTTGTGGGGTTCGGTAAATATCAACTCCACTTGGGAAGGATGGTGCACTCCCACATATTATATGTTGCTCTGGAGCTGGCAAAAAGTGCTGTCGCCTTCCCACGCACCCCCCTAGCACCCCAACTTCAATGTTGTCAAGGCGCACTGGACATCTGAAGCCAAAATGGGTGTGTGTGTGTTTTTTGCTGGCTTCGTCAACAAGGGGCGCGTCCAAATTTGAAGTTGGGGGGCAAGGGGGTTGGCGCCGGTTGTTACAGTGGTTTTGGGAAGATGCTTTCTTTGGTCTGTTCGCGGAGCCCGGTAGCACCCAGCCAAAAGCATCCGGATGCAAAATTGCAGTCCTGAATAGACACACTCGGATCAAGCCTGTTGGCACCCAAGACTGACCGTACCTATACACAGATCGAAAGCGACTCCGTGTTTACTGCAGCTGCCGGTTCCTAGACCTAGTGAAATTCTTCCAGCTCGAGCTAGGCTAGGCCAACATGCAAGCTTAGCCTTGCTCTCCTCCCTTCTGCAAAGATGTGCCGTGCTCTACCGATATCACCCGATTTCGCAGCGTCTATGAGCGCCTTGACACCAGTGTAGACGTGAAGGTCCTGCTGCAATTATTGAGAGCACTACGCGATGCGTTGCTCCTGCCGCCTGCAATCATGTGAACAATTGAGCTTGCATCTATAGGCCTTTGGTGAGTGTCGGCCCTGCATGAAGAGCTTGATCCCAGCTCTCAATGGCTCAATGTAGTCCTGCCAAGAGCGTGTCTATTCCAAAGTTCAGGCTGTAGACATCCAGTCAGCGATGCCCAATGCATGTATTCTACACATAATCAGGATTCCGCAAGCGATGCATGACAAGAACTTCCTCGCGCAAGAGCATAAAATGCGTCTGGATGTAGTCCACACACTTCTCATATGTCTGCATATTCTCCTGAGTCACAAAACAACAACCCTGGAATGAGACTGGGGATCAGAGGGAGAGAGAGAGAGAGAGAGAATGACGAAGAGAGAGGTTGGGAGAGTGACAGAGAGAGATGGAGAGACAAAGACATTACTTGCCGAGCTTGACATGTCCACAAAAAGAATGCTTTTGAACTTGTAAAGTACGCATGCACTGCTTGTCCTGGACTTCAAAAGCGCAATGCCCGATCCTGCGATCGTCCAAAGAGCTCTGGTGCAAGAGTATCGAAACTTGAGTTATCACTCTGCACAACAAAATTATGCGCAGCCTGCATGCTTGCATGCCGCTCAACCCCCCTTGTCAAGACTTCTGAGCTTGCTGACATCTCCGCAGATGTTGGCAGGATGGGCATCTCCTCCAACCAGCACTACACAAAGCGTGAGCAACGTCAATCAGAGCTAAACCATCGAGTCTTGCGTAACCGAAACAAATGTTATTCGAACTTGAGTTGGGCATATTGCGGGACTTTGCAGGGAACCTCCGCGCCAGTGAGATACTTGCTTCTAGACTGAAAGATCTCTCTCTGTCTCTTACATCTTCCAGGATAAAATGATGGTTGCAAAGTTGCTGAAAAACAGTGAGCAAATTGTTTCCACCCTGGACTGCAATTGTACTTGCATCACAGTCACACTCCACATACCCCTCCAAAGCCCAACTTTGCCTGTGAGCTACTTGCAAGTCTGCTTTTTTAAGCAATGACTCGAAAGTCCTAAAAAGTTAAAAAGCGTTTCAAAGCGTTTTACTTTTTCATTTCTGGTTTACTTCAAGTTCTCCGGACTCTTTCGAATATTGAATCCAGGGCTTCAGACAGGTGCGTCAAAGCGCATAAAGCATTCTGAATCTAGTAAGGCTTCCCACAACAATATTTTAGCACTTCAAAGCAATTTCAGATTTAGACTCAATATTCAAGATTTTAAGAACTCACATTTTCAATCTTGAATCCAGCAAGGTTCCAGAACAAAACCACCTAAGCGCTTCAAGCCTTTCTGTGCGAGGCTTGGATTCAAGACTCAAAACACGAGTCTTGAGAGTCTCAAATCTTGAATCCAGAAGCCCTTTGAATCGCTTCAAAAGCGTTTTGCACAACGCATTGACAGAGCAATGCTCAACTTTGGGAGTTCTCCGAAAAGGGTGAGCATGACTCCTCGGTATTTCCTTCATTTCTCTTCGTTCCATTTTGTTCTCTGGGCACATGTCCTTTGTGTATGTAATGTTGTGATATGTCGGTGTTGGGGCTGCTTTGCAATCTTCCATTCTATCGTGTTTGCGATTATACGGATTTGCCTGGTCTGTATGTATATTATACATACGTATATTGACATGTATATGCAAATGTATGTGTGTATATGCATATGACGCGTATACGTATATCTATGTATGTCAATGCGTGTGTGTGTGTGTCTATATGCGCGTGTGTATGTGTATATGTGTGTCTATGTGTGCATGTGTGGGTGTGTGTCTGTGTGTCTGTGTGTCTGTATGTCTGTGTGTCTGTATGTCTGTATGGCTGTCTGTATGTATGTGTATGTATGCAGGTAATGTAATGGAATGTAGTGTACTGTAACGTAATGTAGTGTAGTGTAATATAATGTGATGTATGTATGTATGTATGTATGTATGTATGTATGTATGTATGTATGTATGTATGTATGTATGTATGTATGTGTGTGTGTATGTATATGTATGTATGTATGTATGTATGTATGTATGTATGTATGTATGTATGTATGTATGTATGTATGTATGTATGTATGTATGTATGTATGTATGTATGTATGTATGTATGTATGTATGTATGTATGTATGTATGTATGTATGTATGTATGTATGTATGTATGTATGTATGTGTTGTGTGTGTTAATGCACATAATATGCTGCATACATGTGTTTTTTTGCATATTACACTAATGTGTCATGGTAGCTATGGGTCTCCACAGAGCGAGCCATGCCTGTTCCCGTCTTCATCATCACAAAGCATGGTAGCAAGGGACCACAGGCGAAAACATGTGAGCCACGGCAGCCACGATCAAAACTACCTGTTTGCCCCAACAGGATACCTGGCCGCTTTTTGACTGCCCTCCTGGTAGTGGCTTGCTTCCAGAATTTCGGCGCAATCTTCTGCCACAGTTCTGTGTCTTTTTGGTGCTTTGGCTCCCAGCACCTCAAGCACCCAGCATCTGATATTTTTACACTCCGGCAACGGCAAGTGAGATGTTGATAACTGCAACTATTGAACCAATGCGCATATTATTCAGCTAAACGTAGCAATCAAAATGATGTGGCCTTCAAACATTAGAGGCACTACTGCATTGACTCGTTTGTGTGTTGATCAAGTGGGTTGACTATCCACCTGCTGCCGTGTGGTGCATAAGGCCCGCACACGGTCCAGTGAAACCTGCAACAAGGTGCATTGTCCAGTTGAGGAACGAGCATGCAAAGTTCAGAGCTTCTACAATCTGCTCCCCCAGAGATGGTGGCTGTTGCAAGCACCTCCTCAGGAAAGTGTTTGGCTAGGCACTTGAGCATGCTGACGACGTCTTCTGAGAGTCCTCACGAGTTTGCCAAGGCATTGTTGTGAAGGTCTGTCGGTAATGAGAAATCAATAGGCCAATACCTTCAGATGCATCTGAATGAATCTACCTCCTCGGTGCCAAGAGCAGAGAGATGCCTGGCCTTTCCGCGCTACTGAAGAGCCACCACGCACGCTGTTCTCCCACGCCTGCGACGGCAAGCCCACAAGCGCGCGGAAAACGAGCTGCTCTCAGGAGGCAAACTCAAGTTGGTCGCCACTTCTGTTGACCAAGCTTTGGACGAGTGGCCAATCTGCAAAATATCGTGAAACGAGCACAATGCTTCCAAACGAGGCAGCCATTCACTGCTAGCACCTCACCATTGGGGTCAACCCAATACTGCGGCAATCAGTACACATCGAGCAAAGCTTGATCGCACCTTGACGAGACTGGTTTGCGGTGAGCAGTTCTCTGTCAACATGCTTATCAAAAGCCCTGAAAAGCATGCTTGGATGTGGCTGAGTCAGCATGCTCAAAGTGACGATCGCGAGATGCGACTGAGGCAGGAGCATCCAGCAGTTCTCACGTCGTCCATCTTCCCAACTTGTAGCTGAAGTTGGCGTGATCTGCTTGTCGTAGGTATTGGTGAACACGTCGACAAGGTCGTTTGTTCTAATTCAGACTCATTGGGTGCCTCTGTGAGCTTGATGGAAAGATCTGCGAAAATGTTGAAGTGCGGATTTGGATTGCTCATCCTTCGATCAAATGCGTGGAAGCAGGCCGTGCCAGTCTTGTGAATTCATGCCTGTCCTTGGGGCTCAGCTTGGACATTGCGTGCTGCAGATCTGCTGGCAGGTCATCAACCACCTGCTCGCACGCAAGCATGGGTACAATCAAACACGCATGCAAACTTCAATGGGTGCCAAACTGTCCAAACTTATAGCATCATTGAGACTGAGGTACTCCCAAAATATGCAGCACTCAAAGGATCCGCAAACTAACAAACTACTATTCAGCGATACCGAACCAACCAACCAACCAACCAACCGACCGACCGACCGACCCACCCACCACCCACCCACCCACCCACACAGCCACCCACCCACCCACCAACCAACCAACCACAACAACAATCAACAACCAACCACCACCACCACCACCACCACCGCCACCACAGCCGCCGCCACAGCCACCACCACCGCCACCGCCACCGCCACAGCCACCGCCAACAACAACAACCACCAACCAACCAACCAACCAACCAACCAACCAACCAACCAACCAAGCAAGCAACCAAGCAACCAACCAACCAACCATCTCCAAGGTCGCGACGTTTTTTTTCTCCTAGGAGTGGTTTTTTCCTAGGAGTGGCTCACTGCTAGGAGTGGCCTACTGGTGGACAGTGGCCAAGTGTGTAACTGTGGCAGTGGAAGCCAAGCTCGCTGCTAGGAGTGGCTTACGGGTCGAGACTTAATTTGTTTTTTTCCATCCTGGCTACTAAAACGCCGTAATTTACAGCATTTTCTCGCGAAATGTACGAATTTTGCGCTAGTCCGTCAACATCATCAGCATCGATTCCAACATCCCCCGCATGTCCAGCCAACATCTCCAGCATCACCATCAAAGCGAGGGGCTTGGCTTCCTGCATCTTCAGCATCATCAGTGCGGATTCAAAAACGGGCAAACTTATTCTGTAAAACACATAAAACGCATGATGATTGAAAAAGTGATGATTCAGATGAGGTGCATTTTGATCTCTTACCCAAAATCCAAAAAGTAGCAGGGGGGTTTGGGGGGGGGGGGGTGCGGCAGCCCTCATGGTGATC